GCACTTTTCTTGTGGTGCAACTGCTTAGTGTGGTGGGGGATACAAGATGCGAGTAAGGGAGCTGTGGCAGCGTTCCTTGGCTTTTCCATGCGGGATCTCCAAGCCTAGGACCCATTTTTCATTTGACTCTTTCGGTATCCCCCAAACAATGATGAAAATCTGTGTCACTCCCTACCCGCACCTGCTCCACCCATCCAAAGCAAAGGGTGAAAAAGCAGACTGACAAGAGAGGGTTAAAATGTGGTCATTCCAGGGCTTACCCGGGCCTCTCTCTAAATTCTCCCACCCACGCCTAGGAGCACAGGAGTGCCAAAACAAGATGAATTTTAATTCTTTTGGCTCATGCAAGAAGGGGCTGCTTTGCAGAGGATAAAATATTAATAAAACATCAAGCATGCCTCTTGTTTTTGCTTCATAAGCATCCTTGACGATGGAGAAAAGCAGGTTTGTTTGAGCTGCTCTAACGAGCTGCTGAAACTCTGGGCTTCCCCTAAGCGGCCAGTTCCTCCTGGACCCGGAGCTGCCGGCCGGGCGGGAAATGCGGAGGGGCCTCGCTCGCCAGAGCAGCCAGGTTCCCCCTGGCTGGCCCCTGCTTTTCAAAGCGATGGCGGCCCCCAAGCCTCCCGTGCTTGGGGGGCTGTGTGTGGCCCAGAGGGCCCTCCCCGCCTTTGCTCACCCTGCAGCCAGGGCAGCACCCGCAACCCGCGGAGACGAGGTCTCCCTCCGAACAGCCCGAGGGAACAAAGGATGGCGTGAGAGGATTTGCACTCCCGCCCTCAGGCAGGGTCTCCGCCTGGGGCGGGGGTCCCAGCTCACACATGCCCCCTCTTCCACTCCACTAGTTTGCGGAGAAGCCTTTCCGACCAGGCCGGGCGGTGCGGGTCTTAGGAGTGCGAGCCGAGTTCACGGTGCCTCGGTGCCTGGGAGTTGCTTGGAGATGCCAGTGCGGGAGGGGAGCCTGCGGGAGCGGCTGGCCAGCCCTCCCCGAGAGGCATGCGCCCCCCCAGGGCAACACTCACGCGGGCCGCACCTTCTGCACCCAAGCAGCGGGGGGGGGGGGAGGCCAGCACGTGGATGGGCGCGTGGGAACCTGTGGCGGCCTGCATGTTGCGTGTCGCAGGATCTCGGTCAGAGGCGCTGGGCGTGAGCTCGCGTTGCCTACAGGCCAGGTTGCTTTCCCCTCTGCGGCTGGGACTGCTTGCAGCTGAGATGGGCCACCAACCGCCTTCCGCATCTGTGACGCGTGGCGAGGAGGCAGGAGGGGACCCTGTCAGACCAGCCAGCGCGTCCCGCCCGCCTCCCCACACCTGTGGGGCCTCCCCCCCACATAAACTGGGTGCTTCCTTCGTCTCCTGGATCAGCAGGAATCGCCTGCGCCATCGATTGGTGCGGAAGGAGTGTGTCGGGCAGCTGGGGGGGCATCCCCCCCATGGACCACCGGGGAGGGTTCTGTTCACGCCTATCGATGGCTTCATGTGCTTGGAACCGGGAGGCATTTCCCCTCTCTGCCGTGACGGCTGGCGAGAAGCTGGCATGTAACTTGACTCACTTCCTTGAGCCGTCTGGAGGGCTTTGCTCTCTTTACTGAGCACCTCCTCTCTGGAGAGTGGCTTTGGCGGGGGGCGGGGGGGCTCCTCTGCGGCGCAGAGGGCTTTGTGCTCTGCCACCGCTCCCGCCCCTGTGGCACACGCGCCGCCCGCAGCGCTCCCTCGGGTCTGTGGTTCTCTTTTTGCGCTCTGCTTCCATCCCCACCTCACCGCCTCTAATTCATCACGGTTCTATCCCCTCGTGCCACAGGCTGCATTTGCTGTTGTCAGGCAACATAACCCGCTGGCGGAAAAAAGTAACGAGCGATGCCAAAGTTGCTTTTATTGATTAGGACGCTGAAATCTGATGCACGCTTGGCTGCGGTTGGGAGGGCAAGCGCGGGAGAGCCATGGCCCGACAAAATGGCCGCGCCCGAAGCCTGCAGGTCTCCCCGACCCCGGCCCCGGCAGCAGCACGAGCTCCTGGGGCTGCCTGGCCGTGCCTGACCCTGGGACCATCTCCGGAGCAGCACGGCCCCTGCTGGAGGCGGCTGCTCCCGAAGTCTCCAGAGAGGGGCGTTTTGGCCCTCTCTGTCGCCTGAACAGGGGATGCGGGGACAGAATGCCGGCTCTTCTGAACAGAAAGGGGAGCTAGCTGGTCATTTTCTCCATCGCTTTTCCCGGCCTGCGGCTCTTCACCTATTATCCTCCCCTGCACAGAAATACAATTCCAGAAACGAATGAGCAGCAGCCCCGGTCTGCTTGACAGAGGCGCCTGCTCGCTGGTCCTGCTTTCGATGGACGGACGTCGGCTGGCTGCCTCTGTTGGTGCACAGGCTGGGCAGCCAGAGCGGTGGTCTAGGCTGGTCCTGCTTGCTGTGGTGATGGAGGAGGGGGCTCCGCCATGTGTGGAGCCGGCGCAGCCGGAGTAGAAGCAGGGAGAGGAGGCTGCTTGGAGGGCCGGTGGTCGGTCGCTGGCTGCTCGCCCACCCGGCCTGCTCGCCTCCCTGGCAGCACACCGAGGGGCCCCCTCACGATCCAGTGTCCCTCGGACCCACCCGCAAGCCGACCTCTGTGTTGTGGCAATATTTGCGGCATTGTGTTGACAAATGCACAAACGAGCATATGGGCTTGGGGAAGGGGCCGCATGCAGCTTCTCACTGGGAACGTGTGGCCTTTTTCCAGGAATGCCTTTGCCTCCCATATGCTCTCTCGGCGCAAGCCCGCAGCTTTACCCTCCGAACTTCCAGAGCTTGGGAAGTGCCGAATGGCAGTCCAGTCGGGGAGAGGGCCTGGGGGCCGTGGCCTCTGGTGGCACCCCAAAACAGCTGGAAAGGTTCCGCCTGAGGCTCCCGGCATGGCCAGTCGAAGGTGTGTGACTGGGGGTGCAGCTTTGCAACGTGGCAGAAGATGCCGGAACAGCCGCCTTTGAAGTAGCGGGTGGGTGAGCAGTGTGGGCCGCTGGTGCCGAGCCTGGCGGCTGGCCTGCTCTCTTCCCGCCCCCTCGGGCTCCGCACGGCTGCAAGTTGGAGGGCGAAGTTCTCCACTGTCGCATAGGTGGGTGCCCGTATCCGGTAAACGGGTTTACTCAGAAGTTTCACAGCGAAGTGCCCAGACTTTCCGGGAGCAAGAGCTGCGATCGCGGCAGGATCCTCGCAGGGACGGAAGGTGCGGATGGTGCGGCAGGGCGCGTGGGCCCCCGCTGGGCTTGGCGGGGCTCGGTCAGCCTGCGTTGCGCGCCCCGGCACGGCCAGCCTCTGCTTCCCCTGGGCGTGTGCGCTAGAGGCAACGGGAGCTGGGCGAGGGCGGGCCGGGCTGGCCCTGGCTCGGGCCCAGCCTCCGGCTGCCTGCCCCGGGAGCAGAGGGTGCGCCACGGGGAGAGGCCCGGTCCCCGGTCTAGGTCAAGCCCTTGTGCGTCGCGCTCGGGCGGGCGGCCGCTTTCCTCCAGCCGAGCCGGCCAGCCCCTCGGCAAGGGGAGCCCGCGGCTTGCACGCCGGTGCGCTGGGGAGCCCCTCGGCCGGGGGACGGACGTGCGCGCCCGGAGCGTGCGTCAGGGCCGCCCCTTGCCCTGAGCTGCGGAGGGGCCTGCCGCGGGCCGCCCCGTTCTCACGGCGCGGCGGCCGGCGGGGCAGGGGCGCCTTCCGGCCGGCTTCCGAGGCTTCTCGGCCTGCTCCAGCCCCGGCCCTTGCACCGTGCGCTGCGGGACCGGCTCGCCGGGTCAGCGCCGGGCATTTGCACATGCTCAGAGAAGGGCTTTCCCGCCCTCCCCGGGGGTTCCACGGCTGAGCGCCAGCCGGCCCCCTCGCGCCGTGCCCCGGTGAGCCGTCGAATCAGCCGCTCCCGCAGTGGTCCCCCCCCGCGCTCTCGCTCCCTTCCGCCGCCCGGGTGAGTCTCTCATCCAAACCTCGGTCACGTAGGATTGCGTAGAAGCGGGGAGGAGGGAGGGGGAGGAGGCGCGGCGAGGCTGCCGGCTGGCTGGCTGGCGAGGGCTCGGAGGAGGCTCCCATTCGCGCCGCGCCGCTCCAGCCGGCTGCCTCCAGCGGATCGGGACCCGGCGGCCTCCCCTCCTCGCCGCCCGGGCGCCTCCCCGGGAATGCGAGCGAGGGCGGCGTCTTGGCGGCCCCCGGGCGGCCCATGAGCGGCGGCAGCGCCGGCGGGGGAAGCCGCTTGCAGGTGGGGGCGCCCGCCGGGGGGCGGCGGCGAAGAGCGGGACGACGCGGGCTCCGCCGCCGGCTGCTGCGGTGGCTCGGAGGAGCTGAGTCCGGCGCGGGACGATGTGGCCGCCGCTGCGGGGCGGGGGCAGCAGCGGGGGCCGCCAGGCAGCAGCAGCAGCAGGCGCCGCCGCCGCCGCTGCGCCGACGGAGAGGGAGAGGAAGGGGCGGCGGCGAAGGGGGGCGGGCGTGTGAGAGAGCCCGCCCTCGCCCCCCGCCCTCCCCGCCACGAGCGTGAAGACAGACGGCGCCGTCCTCGCCTTCGGAGCGGCCGACGACGAGCAGGGTCCCGGGAAAGGCCTCGCCGAGGCGCCCGCGGGGGCGAGGAGGGGGCGGTGCGGGCGCCTCCCGGCCCGGCGCCCGGCGATGCTGCCGCCACCCGCCGCCGGAGAGCTCGGTCGGGGCGCGCCGGCGCCTTCGGAGGGAGCCGCCGCTGCGCCGTCGGAGCCAGCCTCTTCGTGGTGATGCGCCGCCGGGCCCTGGCGCCGGCCGCGGGAGAGTGAGCCGCCGCCGGGGAGCGCCCTCGGCCGCCGGGGCGCGCGAGCGCCGGCCCTGC